CGCTCAGCGGCATGTTTGGCCTGTAAGCGCCACCGTGTGCGTGCGCGCCGCGTGCTCGTCTCGCGCTGTCAACGACTCTCTTTGTGCTGCTCCCGCGCTTGCTTGCATCGTCTTGTCAAGGACCTCCCCGTACAAGGGCCGCTCTTAGGCGGCTCCTTGGCCCACCACTTTTAGAATAGCTGGATAGGACCCCGGTGGGTCATGAACCGGGCGGCGCCGACGTGAGGGATTTCCCGACCGTTGGCCAGCGACGTGGCGTCGTTGGCGCCGCTCTAGGTGTGCGAGAAGACGCTTGCAGGTGACGCGAGTAGCAGCAGAAGATAGTTGTCGACCAACCTTAACGATCATACACGTGCATTTACACTTTGCCGTATCCGTCTCATCCAACAGCCATCGACCGATCCCAGCACGACGAAGCCAACGTCCCACCAAGTCGAGAAGGTGACGCTCCAGCGCAACGGCGACGGCGTGCATGCTGCCGAGAACATGAAGCAAGTCGGTCCCTTGATGCTGCGCAGGTCGTTGTGGTTGCCATGCTTGCAGACCGTAGAAACGACGTGGGGATTTTGGTTGCCAAAATCTTGTTCTTAACCCTCCGACGCCTATGCAAGGCCAAGCGAGCAACGAGCTCGGGCACGCACGTGGAGGCCGCCACGCGGAAGCAGCGCGAGGCCCAGTGCATAGAGAGAGCCGTCTTGACGCTTGGGCGAGAGCACGTCGAGGTGGAAGCGCTGCACGAGGGTTGCGACGACGAGCTTGGTCTGCAGCAACGCGGCTTGCTGGCCGACGCACGAGCGCACGCCCGCGTTGAAGGTCGGGAGCTCGTACGCGGTCGGGCGCGTGGCCATGCTGAGCCAGCGATCGGGTTGAAACTGGTCGGCGTCCGCCCACCGGCGTGGATCGCGGCCCATGACGTAGGCCGAGTACTCGAGCATGGCGCCTTGCGGCACGTACGTCCCGTCCGGCAGCACGTCGTCGGCGACCGCGCACTTGAGTTCGATGGGCACGGGCGGGAAGAGCCGCAGCGTCTCGCGCACGACAGCGTCCAAGTACACGCTGGATGCGATCGACTCGAACGATATTTCGGCCGTCCCGAGCTCGTCGACGAGGATGGCTTCGACGTGCGGGTGGGTTGCGACGCAGTAGAGGGCCCAGAGGATGCTGCTGCCGACGGATTCGCGGCCCGCGAGGAACATGCCCATCATCATGTCGCGAATGAGGACGTCGGTGATGCTTGCGTCGGTCGCCTGGCGCCGCAAGAGCTCGGCGAGCACGTTGGTTGACTCGTGCGTCGCCGTCGCCCGCGCGTTGGTGATCGTTTGGTTGCAGAGAGCGTTGATACGCGTCATGACGGCGTGGAGACGGAACTCGCTGGGCATGCACCACTGAAATAGGACGTACCACGGGTGCGTGAAGCGATAAAAGATGAGCTCGCCGGCTTCGTGGACGAGGTCGTGCATCGCTTGCATGTCGTCCGCATCAAGCGTCGCGCCAAACGCCATCTCGTAGATGCAGTGCGTCGTCCAGGAGAGCACGAGCGGCGATAGATCGATGCTGCTGCTCTCGGTATCGAGCGCTTGCACGAGCGAGGCGAGGTGCTTCGTGTACGTGGTCGTTGTCCACGCCTTGAGCGCGTTGACCGAGAAGAGCGACGCGATGAGCTTGCGCTGGAAGCGCCAGCTCGGATGCGACACGTTGATGTTGAAGATGCTGCTGCCGAGCAGCTCGCGCAAGACGGTCTCCATCACCGGTGGTTTGATGTAGTTTGCGTGCCGCTTGCTTAAAATGTGCTCGAGGTTCGCGGCCGACGACGTAAAGATCGATCCGTTCGTGAGCACGTCGACGCGCAAGCAGTACGTGGCGCCGTATGCGATGGTTTGCCGCAGCTTCCAGTCGTAGAGCTCGGTCACGTGGCCCGCGATCTGGCCCGAGTTGCCAAGAAGCCACGTGCTGGGCGGACCGGGCAGCGTGGCGAGCGCAGCGGCCATCGTGCGCTTATGGTACACGTAGCGAGCGATGGCGACGACCACGTAGGCTGCGAGCGCGAGAAGCACCAAGTGGCCCGACACGAGGTTCATTGTCGTCCTGATGGAAGCGGAAATTGACTACTGGATGCAAGGACGCCAGGCGTAGTACGTCGTTGGCTTCCGACGAGATGGCCCACAGTGGGATTCTTGCGACTCCCTTAGAGGACGCGGAAGGAGCGGCTGGGAGCAACTTCTTAGGCTCGTCGCACACGCGCATGGCAGCGGAGAGCTGGACGTTGTCGGGCGACCACCGACCGCCGACGGGCGAGCGTAGTGCAGCTCCCGGTCGCGGGCTACGTTGCACCTCGTGTGCACTGGCGACATGAGTATCCTGTTCAAGTAAACGCTCGCCGTTTGGAGGGGGAAGTACATGGCCTAGACTATACCAAGGGCACAAAATACCTCGAGTTTCGAGCCGCGAACGAGGTTTTGACATACAAGCGGCGCTGGACGGGCTAGTAGGTAGAGGTAAATGTGCGGCGCTTTCAGCCGCAACCGCAACGCTCTACTCCAACGTCGCTTGCCAGGCTTCCTATCACAAGTCGGGGTCATGTCACGCATGGCGAGCCTTATCTCGCTATCTCGCGGCCGACTGCTCGGGGAAAAGGCTGCGACCAGACACATACTCTGTCTGGTCGCATCCTTTTTCTCGAGCAGTTGACCAAAGCTGCTCGCGGGCTTCCCTGTTTGACGTGCTCATCGTCTCGACCAGCGCATGTAGCTACTCTAGCTTTCGTCTCTCTTCCGTTGCCGCTTCGGCGTTACGCGGATGGATTCGCATATCATTTCTGCGTGCAGAACCCATCTAGCTGTGGGCCACTGCGACGTAGGCACGCAAAGGGCTCGACGCATCCGAGTCGACAAGGCATGCGCCCATCCAAAGCGCCGCTGGAAAGGGCTACCCGCCTTCTCCGGCTCTTCCGACCAAGCTGCGCCGGGAAGGAATGAGTGATAGCTCGACTGCCGCTCCATTGAATCGTCCCGCTTCCTCGTCGTCCTATCAGCCGCCGTCGGCCCAAAGGTTGCATTTGCCTTGAAGTCGCCACCGCCCGACACGACGAGTTTGTATGGGGGCTCGGAAACAGGTGCTTTCGACGGAATCTCGTCCCGTGACGTGGCGCCCTGCCAGCACAAATACGCTATAATTTGATACCTGTGAGAATACATATACATGATAAGGCTGTGATACAGCAGTATATAGCTCTAAAACCCTTCATAATGTATATTATGCGACAACGCATTTGCTTGCCTCGTTGAAGTTGGTGCCATTGCGAGCGGCGTAGCATGGTGGACTTGCGCTCGCATCATGAGAGGGTGTCTTTCCTCTGGCGCAGCAATGCGACGGGAGAATTAGCCCGCGCAACGAAGAGACCTGGCCGTTTGGCGACTGTCGCAAGGACTTTGCGTGCTATACAGCTAGCCCCTCGCGCTCTGCAAGCCCAAGCTGGTGGTCATGACGGCGGACAACAAACAGTGCACCGGGATGTACGGCCAGTGCAGCGACCAGCATAAGTCGCTCGGTGTCTTCTGCAAGGACCTGGGCTTTGCGTGCACGCAGAGACTGCGCACTCTGGCGGTGTGAGCCCGTCGAGCGCAGCGCCTTCGCTCAGTGCGGTGGCGAGAATAACGACGTGCGAGAAGGGCTCGACCTACGCCAAGCTGCAGGACTCGTGCTACCACTGCCACCCAACGCCCCCGCGATGCTTGCGAGAGCGCTTCTTCGCTAACAAACCCGTCCGAGCCAACGACAAACGACTTGTCCCATGCAGTAGTGTTCTATGTGTGAACGCTGACGTCATCTTCATTTCTGGTTTGAAAACAAGTTGCCAGCAGATTGAAGCACTTGACAACTCATATCAAGAGCTATTGCTGTTTTTAACGTTGTCGGACTATCGGGCCAATGCACGCGCCTGCGACTCGGCTGGCGATGTGTCCGACTGTAACTGGTGACCGAATCGGTTCGAACCCGTTTCTCAGATGGACGTGCGGGTGTGTCATAATCGCTCGGTCCATGGTCGCTTTGGTCAAGCTAAATCTGACAGCACCTGCACGCAAACGCAAGAGCTAGCTGCCCAAGCAATAGCTCAGAGGCTAACCTCCTGCCAGAGCTGCCCACAGTCGTTTCGACCCTCGAACAGAAGGGCTTGATGCATACACTGAGTACGAAATGTACAAACCATATCGACATTCACAACGCCGACGGCGTTATACATCCAAGATATCCCAGTTGAGGTCCAGCGCCGGCTCGCGCGCCGCGCGTCGGTCGAGCTTGACTTCCAGCGCGTTGAAGAAATCGCGCTGGGCGGCTTCAAGGGCGACGAGGCACTGGACGTCGTTGGCCGTGAGCTCGTGCCGCGGCTTGGGCGAGCAGCGCAGGCGGCTGGGAAAGTTGAGGTACGTGACGGCCACAAACTTGTAGACGCGCCGCGGCTCGCACTGGAGCGCGTCAGCGATGAAGTCGCGGAGGCAGCGACCGTGGGCGTCGATAAGGCCGGTCATGAAGCAGACGTAGAGCAGGTGCAGGTACGTGGTCTCGGCAGCCATCCACCGGCCGCTGTTGGGGCACTTGAGCACCATGGCGTCGAATTGTAAATGCGCCCAGAAGTCCGAGCTCACAGAGTAGCTGCCCGTGCGAGCACCTGCGGGCACACCAATGCAGGTACACACCCGCGCCAAACAGGATACTCGTGACAGACACCTCTGTTGTTAGAGAATACCCCTTGCATTTTATCTTCATTTCCAACTTTGGCGGATATTCCCTCACAACACACAGAACACTTTGTAGATGATAGAGTTTCGCCAAAGTACCTTGCGTGCGAGCGGCAACCATTTCCATCGTTGGGAGGAAGCGCGTTTACGGTACGTACACGTCTTGGGAGGCTTCTTGGCGGGGCTTGGATTGCCGACGACTGCTTCGGTTGCTCCAACGACTGCACGTCCATGCGGCGCTGGGTGCTGCATCGCGCTGGTTGCTGCGTGCCATCGGCACGTACAATATTGCCTTGAATCTATTGCAGCTTGCAATCCTTGCAGATCAGATCCCAAGCTGTTGCCAACGCGCGTCAGAAGGAACCTTGAACGCTGGGAAACTCAAATAAATCAACTCGTTATGACGGCGTTAGATCGTCCACACCGCTTCGGCGTTGCCCCGTAAGAGCAGCATCGCGTGGGCTTCGTGCTGCAGCTCGTGCGTGCCGGGTGCGCCGTTGAGCTGCTCGGAGAGCGAGAGGTACCCGCGTGTGACCCGAGGTTCGCTGCCCTCTTTCTTGGCGACTTTGCTTTCAAGCTCGGCGAGGAACTTGTTGCGCGCGTCCTTGAGCGCCATGAGCCGCTCGACGTCGAGCGCCGAGTAGTCGATGAGCTTGTGGTAGACGCGGCGGTTGAAGTTCGCCTGCAGCCGCGCGTTGGCGAGCATCTTGCCCTTCTTGAGTCGCTTCGTGACGCGCATGGGGTCGCAGCGCAGCTGGCGCGCCACGTATTGCCGCAGCGTAAGTCGCTCGGCTTCGTCGTCGCTGTCGTCGAGGATACCTGTGAGGTAGCAGCCCACGAGGTGGTCGAGGTACTTGAGCTCCGCAGCCGTCCAGCGTCCCGAGTTGGCCATTGCAGTTCCAATTGCGAAATGCAGTTTACCGTGTGCCGACTTTGTCGATCGAATCCTGTTCTTTTAAGACGACCATGGCTTTAAAGAACGTCTTTTAAGGGCATCGAAAGAGTCTTTTAATATGAATTTCGAACGCGCGCCCGCTTCACGCCACAGACGCAAGATGGAGCGGGTTGACGCCTGCCGTCTTGTTCGCTTCGATATCGAAGCCGGTGCTCGCTCGGCAGCAAGAAGAAGGCCGCTCATTTCAAAGGCGGTTCACGCAGCAGCAGCAGCAGCAGCAGCAAGCGCATGAGCAAAACTACCGTCTACCGCTCAATGCAAGCTATCTTTGTGGATATGGCCGGAAGAGTTAGCACGTTGGCATGGCGACCTGAGCCAAGGGTCATGAATTTCGTTCTCAAAGCCCACACCACTTTCCGTGCTGCATAAAAACAGAAGGCGCTTGAGGAGCTGCTGCTTCCTGCACATGCCTTCCAGCACCCATAACATCTGGGATGGGAGCTGCAAAGCGAGAAGACACGCATGGTAGCCACGCAGCTGTGCTTGCCTCTGGCGGTTGCTGACGCTGCGAAAACATCATGTTGAGCGGGGTGGGGGTGCGAGCGCGCTGGTTCACGCCCTAATAAAGACAGCGCCACTGGTGGTGGCTGCTCTGTTTGTATCCACCGAGGCGTTCGTGTGCATCGACGTAGGCTCGGTCGATCGATTGCGCGATACCGGACTTACTAGTAGCTGTGTACGGTCGTGACAGCCCAGGTGTCACGTCATCCGATTACGATACGAGCGGACCTGTCACATGCAGCAATCTGGCTCTTGTAGACCGACCATCCGACCGCTATTCCGCCCGCTCAAACAGAACCAGGATTGAAGCCAAGGAGGTGCCAACGTGCTTAGCTTTCCCTCAATAGGCAGCAAGAAAGAGATAAAAGTAAGTGCAAATGCAGTCGTGTGCTTACTGATACTCATACAACCAACGACGAGTCCATACTCCTTGCAGGTCGCACAAGCGCCTCCTTGCATGGTGTTCGTCATGAAAGTGCAGTCGAGCTAAGCGTCCGCCATCGAGTCGATCGAGACGACGCTCAAGCGACCAAACATGGTCACGTTCACATCGAGCGCGACCGTGAGCGTCTTGGCCGGCGCCGTCACATTGAGAAAGCTGCCGTCGGGTCGCTGCAACGTCCACGCTGCTGTCGGGCACATGGCCGCCGCGGGTGTCGTTTCCCCACTGGTGCGCATCGCACCGCGCATCACACGCCCCTTCATCGCACCGCGCATGCGACCACCAAGAAGCGTCGCGGGTCGGCTCCACCACGCCTCGTCGTCGTTGGTCGTCGCCACGTTCGGCAAGTGAAAGTCGCAAGACACTGCGTCAATGACCGTCGTCGCGTAGTCGCCCTGCGGCAGCGTCTTCATGAAACCAGCGACCGATGCGTTGAGCTGCTTGACGTACCGGCGATACGCCGTCGGAACGGTTGGGCAATCGTCCGATGTCACGTCGGTGGCACTCATGTCCGTCACGAGCATCCACGGGCCCTTGACTGTGGGCACGGCCTTGACAAAAGAGCCAACGATGTCGTCTTGGGTCTGGTCGAGGCAGGCGGTGACGGCCTTGAGGTATGTGGCGCGGTACGTCGTGACGGCCGTGCTCGCAGGAACGTGAAAGATACCAGAGTTACCGCCCGCCATCGGGTGGACGTATTCGTGGTAGATGCCGTGGCGGGCATACGTGGCGGTCGCGGCCACAAGCGAGAGGATGACGGAGCGCAGCATCGTCGTTGGTGGTGGTTGCGGCTTTGTGAAAAAGCAAAAGTGAGAAAGCGAAAGCCAAAGCTGTCGGGCGAACGAAACCACAAGAGACAAGAGGCCGGAACCATCGGGGTGCGTTCGACCAAGCCATTGACGCCGGCTAGAATATCGAAGCGGTTGTGCGTCGAAAGACCACCTTGGCTGCCAGGATGCCACGTCACGGATCGGAACACGCAGTAGCGCTGCCGGCTTGCATATGGACTGGCTATTGCGTTCCTACCGTGACGCGTAATGGCAGATAGCGTTGCATCGTCGCTTCCGAGTTCGCCCAAGGGCCGCGAGAAGCTACTTGTGGGCGTCACTTCGATGCACGAGCCTGCGAGCAGGTGCTATGGCTGAAACATCAAGAGGACAGCGAAACCATGCGAGAGAAGAAGATCCCGTGTCCGCTCTCAGGGCCAACGAGGAAGACGCTTTCGAATCGAACCATCCACGGCAGTGCTGTCGAGGTATGTGGTTCTCAAATAGCCCACCAAGATGAGTCGAATTCACACGGTTTGCTTGCTCACGTGGAGGAAGCATCCATATATAGTCCTTTCCCACCCAGCAACGGCTCATTTAGTAGGGTTAAAACGTCAAATGCACCCGTCTGAATCACCATCCAGCGATCTTGTGCGGTACGCTCGTCGCAAGAAGACATGTGGCGATGAAACACTGCATTGCACTGCTGTTTCGCATACCAGCTGTTTCTCTTAATATTCTGTCTCCAAAACAGTGTACGTCCCCTGCCCACCAACACAAGACAGCCTCGTCAAGCCCAACGACATGAAAGCTGTATTTCACAGCAGCTGATACACACACACGATATCTATCGGCTGCTACCTACAACGCAAAAGCTCAGAGCACGCGGCTGGTGTCGGGCTGGCACGGCGAGAGACCTACGCCACGACGCGGACGACGTTGTAGATGCCGTACATCTCGACCGTCGGATCGCGCACCACCGAGAGCGTGCCGGTCGCACCCGTCGGCTCGACGATCGTGCCGTCTTCGGCCTTGACGAGCCACACGCCGTACGGGCACTCGGCGCCGTTCGGAAGAGCGCCTTGGGGCGTCGCAAACGCATGGCTGTCGAACCACGTCGCGGGCTTCGTCGACGGCGCCTGGTACACGGCGCCAAAACTGCAACCGAGCGAGTCGGCGGCCACGAGCGTGCTACCCGGCGACTTGTTGGTGAATGGCACGAGCGTCGTCGTAAGCAGTTGCACGTAGTGTTGGAGAACCGGGCCGACGTCCGGGCAGTCATTGACACTCATCGTGTTGGCGCCGAGGTTGGTCACGAGCGTCCACGGACCGTTGGTTGAGGGAATGAGGTTGAAGAGGTCGTTGATGGCGGCCTGCTTGGTCGTGATGAGGCAAGCAGCCGCGGCTTGAAGGTACGCAAGGCGAACGTTGGGCAGGTCGGGCGACGCCTTGTAGTCGTAGATGGGCGCATACGCCGTCGTCGAGTTGGGAGACACCTCGGCGAGGTGACGCAGGTCGTCGTAGCGGGGGCGCGGCGGCGGCTTGACGTAGTTGTTGCCGTGAGAGCCACCCATGCCCATGATGGAGGTGTGGTGGAGGAGGTGGAGAGTGAACGAGCGGAGCACGAAGCGTTGGCGGTCCCGCGAGTGCAGAACAAAGCCAAAGAGAGAGTGCGTTGGGCCGCCGCTTTCGCCGACCGATGTGGTAAGGTGGCGTTCTCTGTTTCGTAACCCTACCCGCATTAAGAGGTTCAAGGTGCGCGGCGTGTGGCAAGTCAAACGTGCATGTTGGCAGTCAAACGTGCATGGAATCAGTTGGTAGCTCGCTCTCGGCTGAGAAAGAACGGACCGTCGCCGCCGCTCACTATATCACGCAATGTATAGTCTGGCTGCGGGGTCGCGGCTCCCAGCCATCCAAGCTACTTGCACGCGTGAGCAATGCGAGTCCCAGCTACTTCAAGGTCGGTGCCCAAGCCTCTGTGTGAAACGTGGAGCGACAGGGCACGAGAATGCGTCGATGGTTCTCGATACCAAGGCGGACTTCGATGCACAACGTAGCTTCCTCGGACCAGAAGCGGCGGCAAGCAGAAGCGCGACACATGCAGTGCAGGGGATCGCCTGCTTTGAAAGCGCGTCGTAGCGATATACTGTATGCGATCACGACCCGTGAACAGCACCATGATCATGCATTGCATCTCGGGCTCGACCAGTGCCGTCCATACGTGGCGTCGTCTTGTACGTTGTATATTGGGAGGGCTGCATATTCGACCAGCGCTGGAAGCTGGTGTTCGGATTCCGTTGGAACTCTAGTGTGTTAAAAGACCAGTGTATGGGTGCATGCGGCGCAGCGACACGGCCACGTCATGGATCGCGTCATCATGGCTATTAATAGCGTCTGCGCGTGTAAAACGTGCGGCCAGCAAGCACTGCTTTTATACCAGAAGTTGACGTCCAATTTTCTGTATCCAAGACAGTGTTTTCACAGCCAGCGTTTAGAACACGGAACATGTATTTATTGAGACCCGACCTCCATCCTTTGTGGAAAGCAAGGAACGAAGATCATCGTCGTCCGTAGGTCGTCTTCTCGCAAGAGTTACTCGGGCGCTGTGATCTTGAGCGCATGGAAGACGCCGTACGCGGGCACGTTCGTGTTGAGCGCAACTGTGAGCGCGTCGGGGACTGCACTTGCTTTTACGTAGCTGCCGTTCGCAAGCTGGAGGACCTCTGCCGCCTTCGGGCACTGCGACAAGGAGGAGCTGCCACGCATTTTCCCGCGCTTCGTCAAGCCACGGTGCGTCGGGTCACTGTTCTTGAGGCCAGCGCGCATCAGACCCCCGATGCGAATCGTGCGGTGGTTCGACCACGTGTCTTTATAGCCTTTGGACATCAACAGGGGCGTGATCGGCACAGCACCGCACTGCACGGCGTCCGTTGTGGTAAGCGTGTAGTGGTCCAGCGACAGCGCAGCCAAGAGATGGGCGACTGCAGCGTTGATCTCGCGGGCGTAGCGAGCGTGCTCGGCTGTGAGCGATGGGCAGCCATAGTCGGTCAAATTGGTCGCGCCGAGGTCCGTCTCAAGCATCCAACGCCCTTCAGGTCTGACCCTTGTGTCGTTGTTGCTATGAGACAGTCCGAGAGGGCCTTGAGGTACGAGGTCCGGGCTGTTGCGACCGATGGCGCGACTTGCAAGTAAATGAGCCCACTGGAGGGACCTTTTGCGCGGTGCTGACCGGCGCAGATCACGGACACCAGAGCGGCGAGGACGAAAAGAAGAGCTCGAAGCATCGTCGCGGTCGTTGGGTTGGTGTCGAAGAAAGCAAAGAAAAATGACCTCCAAACGGACAAACTGGCGCTGTGGGCAAGCTCTCTGACGACGACATCGTCGACGATGCATCGGACCGGGCAAGCAGCGACCGAGAGCCGCGATTCCACGTGGTGTTTCGGACGCCGCTTGTCGAGCATCGGGACACTGAGGTGGCGAAAGAGGCAGGTCTCGCACGAGCTGGCGCCACGTATGTTATCCGGCGTTGACCGGATGCGTCCGGTTGGGGTCGTCGCTGGGAAGAAGCGCTCGTGAAGGAACAAGAACACAGGCAGCCACGTCTCATCGAGCACTGTACTACTAACGCCAGCTCGCTGCGAAGATGCCGCATCTGTTTCATACCGATCTGGGCCCTGGCGCCAGCGCCCATCCTCCTTCGCTGGGAGTAGCTATCGCCGGCCTTTCCGCCAATCGCCGCATTCTACAAGAAGCACCGATGCTGATGGAGCTGCGCATCCTGGCCATCGACCTCGACATGGACGGCACGCATGCGTCGTGGTCGCGCCACGAAGATGCGCTATTGTGCGCCGCGCTGCACCTCTTTCCCAGCGGCCCGTACGACGTCCTCGCCGACTGGGTGCCAACGCGCAGCCCTGGCGACATTCGCGACCGCCTTCGCCACGCTGCTAGCCCTCGCGAGACGTGCTGCGACCTCGCGTGTCTGGTGCCTGCGTCTGCGTGTAGCAGCCTTGACATGGAGAGTCCCCGAAGCCGCGCCGTGCATGACTGTGAAGTGTTTGAGATTTAGTCGTACTTGTTTGTTTCGTAAAATGTCCTTGCTTGGCGTGCCATGTCCGATTTCCGCTCACGATTTGTATGAGAGATGGTGCAAGGGACGGCCATGCAAGAGGCGGCGCTTTAGGCCTGGCTGACCAGGACCACATAGTGGCACCTTCTTGCATCATCAGCAAGCAGCGCGGGTTCTGGGTGTGACGCACTCGATTACACTTGCGACGGTCCGTGGACGCACCAGATCTCGACACGCCCTCGGGCAGCGTTCGCACTGCACGATCTGCCATGCCTCGCTTCCGCCAACTTTTCGTCTCTCTTCTCTTCTGCACGGTGACTGTCTTGGCCTCGACGGGCCTTATCCACCTCAAGGCGTCGCCCCAGCTCGCACGGTCGCGGGAAGCGTATCTCCAAGCAGCCGCGCGCTGCCTTCTCCAGACACGCACCTCGACGCTTGGCGCCTTTGTCAAAGCTGTACCGACCCCGCGGGGTCCTTGGATGCTCGTGTCAGACGTTGCAGCGCCGGTCGTGGCCGTCCGCGGCTGTCCCAAGCTCGGTTTTGCCTGGAAACGGTATGCCACCCAGCTCAACCGCACGCTTGACAACGTCGTCTCGGCGCTCGCATCGCAGACGTACTACGCCGTGCTCGTCGTCGATGCGCTGGGTTGTGACGTGGCACTGTCTCCGACGTCGGCGACGGTCGACACGCATGAGGTGCACACGATGCTACAGCGCGTGCACCGCGGAGTGCTACGCGGTATCAGCACCGCGCCTGCGACCGCCGGGTGTCCATTGGCGGCGTGGTCGATGGATGGCCGCGTCACTGCCCCGAGCCCCGGGACGCTCACGGTTGCGCTCAACTACGACGTCGCAATGCACGGTAGTGTCCACGCCGTTCAACTGACCGCCCTCGAGCGCTAGCATCGTCGTCGAATGCAGACTCTGCCTTGTCGTCCGTTTGGCTCCAAATCTCAAGTTGATAATTACTTGTTCGTTGACTTGATACGTGCACCGTATCCGGCGTGATCCGCCCGACGACCTCGTCGTTGTGCTGGATTCGTCCATGGAGATGTACGACGCGCCACTCTAGCGACACCAACACGTCACATGGGCGACGTGCTTGAAGCGACAGACGAGTTGGTCATTCTACACTAACACGAAGCTGCTGCGTCTAGCTTTTTACAAACACATTCACTCATTAAAAGCGCAGTGTCACGCATGCGAAGCCAACCTTCTACGGTGATGCCCCGGGCAAGTTCCTCGCTGCCCGATGTGCTGGAGTTGATCGCGGCTGTGGATCATGCACCCCATGCGTGGCCACGATCAAGCGCGCGTAGGCTTGGCGCAGCTGTATGTCGCCGCGAAGCATCGACATCGACGCGCTCCGAACGTATCTGCAATAGAAACCAAGCCCTCCGGCAAGAAATTCAGCTACCTTTTCTAGCTGCTCCCGACTCACTTTCACTTGGACGCCCAAGACACAGGTGACTTTCGCTGCTCCGACGCTTCTCAACACGCAACCATGGGCAACTGCAACTTTAGCTCCACCATGCCTGGAACAGGGTACGGCCAAGCTTCGCGCATCCGGTTCGGCGTCGTCTCCGAACCATCGGACTCGATCAACTCGGCGACGACCTTCGCGCCCATCTACGACTACAAGGCGTCACCCGACCTGCCCAATGCTCGCCTTGCGTACCTCCAAGCCGCGGCTGCTTGTCTCATCACGACCAAGCAGGCCGCCATCAACGACCTCTTCAGCCTCATTCCCGCCACCAACGGCCCGTGGACGCTCGTGACCAACCTCGGCGCCAACACGCTGAGTGTCAACGACTGCCCGGATGTCGGCCCGGTTCTCCAACACTACGTGCAGCTGCTTACGACGACGCTCGTGCCGTTCACCAGCAAGACGCCGGGTCGCACGCTCGTGGCCGCCGACTCGCTCGGTTGCAGTTTTGGCGCCGTGTACCAGGCGCCGTCAACGAAGCCTGCGACGTGGTTTGACACCCATGCTTTTGCGACGCCCCAAGGTCCTCTTCCGAGCGGTGCCGAGTGCCCGTACGGTATGTGGCTCGTCAAGGCCGAAGACGGCACGATCGTCAAGCCGACGGGTGCGACCGACACGCTCTCGGTGGTGCCCGATCCGACGGTCGAGATGTACGGCATCTACAACGTCGTCCGCGTCGTGGCGTAGGTCCGTCGCCGTGCCAGCCCGACGCAACAGCGTGCTTCATGCCTGTATGTCGTAGGTAGCAGCCGATAGTCGCCACGTTCGCGTATAAGCTGCTATGAAATGCAACTTTCATATTGTTCGGCTTGACGAGAATGTAAGCTTGCTGGTGTAGTAGGCGTGCAAAGACACAGTTTTGAAACCAAAATTTCAACATCCATATTTGGTTTAAGAAACAGTGTTTGCTGGCTGCACGTTTTACAAGCGCAGACGCTAGCCATGATGACGCGTTCCATGACGTGGCCGTGTCACTGCGCCGCATGCACCCACACACGGGTCTTCCAACACACTAGAGTTCCAACGGAATCCGAACGCCAGCTCCAAGGCTGGTCGAATACCTGGTATGCAGCCATCCCAATATACAGCGTACGAGACGACGCCACGTATCAACATCGCTGGTCGTACCCGAGACGCGATGCATGATCATGGTTCACAGGTCGTGATCGTATATATATCGCTACGACGCGCTTTGAAAGCAGGCGACGTGCATGTGTCGCGCTTCTGCTTGCCGCCTCTTCTGGTCCGAGGAAGCTACGTTGTGTATCGAAGTCCGCCTTGGTATCGAGAACCATCGACGCACTCTCGTGCCCTGTCGCTCCACGTTTCACACAGAGGCTTGGG